CATGCTTTTTTTCTTTTCGGTGAAGTCACACTTTTTTTGTGGAGCTGTGCAAAGCGAAGGTGACAACAGTTCACGGTCATACGACTGCTTTGTCGCCTTTAGGCCTCTCTCAGCCACTCACCGAGTGTGCAGTTAAGGCAAAGAATATGGCCGAGTGCTTCTTTCCACCTTCTCGCTGAAGAAACACTTGCCATTGTACACACTCCATGAGCCGTGCAACGAGGCCCTTTTTCTTGGGTTTTTACCCCCGTCCTTTTTCATTTCCCCCTTTGTTCCCGTCTTTCTCGTTACTTTTTTTCTTGATATATCAACGGGAAACGGACGACCCAAGGTCATTCATAAATTCCCGTTCACGTCACACCACTTGCCATCTACTTCTGTCCTCATTTCGGACATAGGTCTGTATTTCAAGAGTTCATGTGTGCACCAACTACCGTCTTCGCCCGAACACAACGCACTTTCATTTTGGCTGTATCTGGCGGGAAATATAGCTTGTATACATTCATTTTTAGGGTGCGTTATGTGCGGGGGAAGACGGTAGTTGGTCTTTCTTTTTACGATCCAACACCCGAAAACTCCTAGAAAACGAGTTTTCGTCGTTTTCCGATGGCAAGTCACACCAGTGGTCTGTTACTCCGCACAGTCCACGCTCTCCTGTTTTTTTTTTTAATACCCCTTTTTCTTTGTTGGGACGATTTCTCGTTTTACGCGTGTCATGTCATCCTTGCGCAAGGGCCATGCTAATCTTCTCTGTATCGCTCCAATGTCAACGGATGTCCCGTTCTGTTTTTTAGGCCCGCCACAGAACATTATAGTTCATTCAACCACCGGGCGTCCACGCGGCCGCGCGGCAGCAGGCTTTCCCCAGTAGCACCAGCTCAGTCTAGCCGACTGCCGGCTAGAGTGACCGCCCAGCTCAGTGTAGCCGACTCCGGCTAGAGTGACCGCCCGATTAATAGGCGAGCTCAGCCGAGCCAAGTCCCTTTGTTTCCCCTGTTCTACTGCTCCCTGCTCCCCTTTTGGCCTTGGTTTCTCCCTTGTTTTGTCATTTCCCTCTTCCTCTTTTGATTGCTCGCTTACACCCACTTTTCCCTAAGACTACTTCGCGCGTGTCCATTCAGCAACAAGGTAACAAGCTGGAAGTGAAATTAAAAGAGGGTAGGG